CCAGACGTCCATGTGCAGGGTCTGCAGCGATGCGGCGGTGGGGGGGAACGAGGAGGAATGAGGGGCACGGAGGATCCGGCCCTCGACGCAGGGCGTGCACGGCGGCGCTGGTGAGTAGGGTAGCGCAGGGAACGATTCAGGGAGACCTAAAACAAGACCGTGCTGAGACATGTGACGAAGACGTGGGAGGGCAGGGTGACCAAGACGGTGGTACCACAGAAGCATCGAGTGAGTAAGCGACCAACACGAGCAAGCCGCAGCAGCCTGGGTAGACACAGCCACCTAGGGACACGTCCCAACCAGGGGGGAAGTGGTGTCCAGCGTGAACAGGCCAGACATTGGGCCCTGGGGGAACGTGGTGAGGGGAGCACTAGTGGCGGCCTCGGTACAGACAGCGTACCGCTCGTGACCAGGGAACGTAATGGTAACGCCAAGGTCCTGGGGGCAGCTGACACCAACTAGGTTCCTAGAGAATGAGGGGATGTGCAGGCCTGTAAGGGAGCCCGAAGGAACTGCCGGGCAGGGAAGGGTGGTGGAGCTACGGGCAACTACAGGACTTGAGGAAGGGTCTGCTAGGGCAACTGCGGCGGGAGTAGCAAGCGGCGTAAGCGTAGTGGAGTCCCGAAAGAAACACCGGGAAGCGTCGGATTCCAGGTTGAAGGAGAGCGCGGCAGTGGCAGCAGGGGTCAGAGGAGCGAGGGTGGAGCCAAGGCTAAACAAAGCAGGGGATCCTACGCCTGACGCATCAGGGGAGCCTAATCTATGCACACCTACACTAGACAACAAGGGGTAAGAAGAACTAGTCACACTAGAATCATCGACATACAGCATATACAAAGCAGAACTAATCTCGTCCATGTCCATATCAAAGATCCTAACACCACGGCAGAGCAGACTGTGCCAGTTACGGAGGTTTGGTACCGAACCGAAACGGAGACGAAACAGGTCATCTAGGCGACTGAAATAACGAGCGAGGGTATGGCTGATCTTACCGCACACGAGGCCGCAGCGAGGATCAGTCTGGAGCTGGTACTGGCAGCGCCCATCACTCGCACCACAACCCGATGCCGAGCCACGCGCACGACCACTGCGACCACCACCACCACCTCCACTAGCGCCAGGCCACCCAGGCGGGAGACGGCTGACCCTGCGCTGCGATTGCTGCTGCTGCTGCTGCTCCGAGGTACCAGCCCCAGCCCCCTCGTCAGAACTACCAGCAGGCGAACCACCTCCACCACTGCCTCCACCCCCTCCATCCCCTCCTCCATTACCTCCGCCGAGCCCAGCCTTGGGGCGGCGACCCTTACCCGAACAAAACTGCGCTGCGGCAGCCGCGGCGACTGTCTCCGCAGCAGGGGCTGTCTCAGCGACAGCAGCAGAATCGTCAGAGAAAGTGCAACAAGCGGGGGCACAGCCCTAAAAGATAGTGATCGGCACAGTACCGCTAGACCGGGCGATAGAGTGCTGACGAGTCTCAGGCGATCGAGCATGGGCAGTGTGAGAGTACGACCCCGTTACACCACTTGCCCCTTTTCTTATTTCATTCCTCTTTTTTTATCTCATCTCATTTGGTTTCCTATTCTCCATTTTCCATTAACCTTTGGTTTATCCTGCTATTATAGTTATATCACCGACCAGGCTTGGGATGTACTGGTGCGCTATCTGGCGTAATCCTGCCGTAATCCCTTAAAGCCAATAGCCCCGCGTGGCTATACGCAGGGTGATTCTATCTTCTAGAAGGGTCTATTCCCTTCGGATAAGATAAACCTGGTTACCTGATGTACTTTGGAAGTATAAAAGCGCCTTGTACTGATCGATAGTGCAACCTTTCCTCAACACATTCGATCCTGTGACACTTGGTAATCAGAGCTTTTCTCACTCGACCGCGCTCAGCTAAGCAGCAGCAGCGGGGATCCTGCCTCGAAAAACCGCCGGGGGCGACCAATTCGACGCCGATTCTGGTAAGCACCAGCTCCGCGTTTTTTCGAATTACCCCCTCCGCGCGTGTTTTTGAACAGGATGGCAAACCTCGACAACGCCGAGGTTACCCAGCAGCTCTTCGCGCGCATCGCAGCCCTTCAGGAGGAGATGCAAGTGGACCGCGAAGCATGGCGAAACGAGTTCGAGCGAGTAACTCGACTCGCCGGAGCGCAACACGAAACGACAACGGCGACGACGCAGCAGTCGCAACAGTTTCTCGAGGCTCCGAAACCGCACCCACCTGAGCCGTTCGATCCGAGCGATCGGAACTCCGACGTCCGCAGATGGATCGCCAAGATGGAGATCTACTTCGCAGCCGTCGGATGGAGCTCGCCAGTCTGGGACGGTCAACGCGTACGACTCGCGGCGACACTGATGCGAGGGCCAGCACTCGAGTGGATTGGCGGTAACAGTACCTTCATCCACGGTGAAGCCACGTGGCAGCAGTTCCGCGCCGACCTGCTGAAACGATTCGAGCCGATAAATTCGAGTTTCCTTGCCCGGGAAAAAAATCATCGACACCGACAGTTCGTGAGTGTAGCGCAGTACACGCAGCAGATGGAGGAATTTTATAACCGCATTCCCGACCTGACCGAAGGGGAAAAAGTACAGTCGTACCTCGCCGGGCTGAAGACCGAAGTCAAACGACAGGTGGCAGCGTCAAACTACGCGAGCTATAGTGACGTCGTATCGGCCGCGGAGCGCTTCGACATGGTCAACGCCGGAACACGACGGACGCACGTCAGCGGTACGCGACAGGGCGACCGCTCGGCTCACCCCACGTTCGCCGACCCGATGGAAGTCGACAGATTCGAAGGGCGGCCACGTCCGAAAAACACCAACTACACGTGTGATTTTTTCAGGGTGCCGGGTCATCAAATCTTCGACTGCAACAAAATGAAAACCGCACGTGCAGAGTATCGGGCACGCAACAGTGGCGGAATTCCTTCGGCCAATCAGAAGCCAAAAAACGGGACTCGCCAGTGATTGCGGATCTAGCTGGCGAAAATAAAAAGAACCAGAAGCAGCCGCGGGATTCCGAGAAAATCAACTTCGACGAAGCTGATTCGACGCGTGAAGGAGGAAATGATGGGGGAAAATCTCCACCCCACGACCAGTCTTCGCCAGGGAAAATCGGCAAGGAAAAATACGACTCCGCGAAAAAAGACTCTGCCGAGACAGGGAAACTCCTTGAAGACCCAAGAAATTATAAGGATTCGTTAAAGTTATCTTACAAAGATCCTTTATACAAAGATGATTTTCGAGGAGCTAGAGCCTTGGAGAAATTTCGGGAGGGACTCCAAAAGAAGCAGACAACTGTGGAGATTATACCGGTACCGGACAACTTGGGGACCAAATTAAGGAGTGTGGAAAGAAGCCGACCTTTCCACGGAGTCAACGTCCTCTCCCGACACCAGCCCACAACGACTACCCGTTCCTCAGGGAAGACGTCGGTGGAGCTGAAGCAGCTCAAGAGGAAGCTGGGGGTCTACAAGAAGCTGCACAAACCCCGAATTCCTTCTCCTACGGATGCATCTAGTTCTTCAGCATCAATGACGCGCACAGTCGTCAAGGAAACTCCGGGCCCTGGAGAAGAGCCGTTCTCCAAGCAGCCTCGGCCAGCTGCCAGCTCAGGAGTAGATAGCAACACAAAGGTGTGTACGGAATATTGGGATGTACCCTATGACCCAATCAATGAGACTATCTTTGGGTACTCCGAGCAACGCCTGCCCCTCGTGCTCGAGGTCAAATGCAAAGGACGACGCCTCCAAGCACTCGTGGACAGCGGAGCATCACACACCGTCTGCAACAAAGCAGTAATCGACCGACTTCGGGAAGAGTACAAGCCATCAGGATTCTCTGCAACGATGGTGGACGGCAGCAAGTTACCAGTATACGGCAAAGCAGTGCTACACCTACAAATCGGGCCACTGCGCTGGAGACCTGCTCTGCCCATCACCAACATAAAAGGGCTTGACCTGATCTTCGGGCGAGACTTCCTGAAAAGATTCAACCCCGAGATCAACTGGGTGAACCGCACCGCAAACATTTACAACAATGGACGGAGAGTACAGCTACCCAACTGGGACGATACAGGAGATATCCCTGTAGAGACACTCGCCAGATTCGAGAAGGACGTGAAGCGAACCGACACCGGGTTCCTGGCGATAGTAACAGAGGTGGAGAACGATGGAGAGAAAGCCTCGGAACCTCCAGAAAAAATCAAGGACTTACTGAAGGAGTTCCAAGACATTCTTCCTGACGATCTTCCGAACGAGCTACCGCCATACCGAACGCATCAACACGAGATTGTGGAGGAACCGGGTTCGAAGCCGACCTTCCGAGCACCATACCGGCTCAGCCCTACGGAGCTGACTGACATGAAAAAACAGATCGAGTATCTCCTAGCCAAAGGACTCATCCGGCCATCCACTTCGCCATACGGTGCCCCAGTACTCTTCACACCGAAACCGGACGGAAGCCTGCGCATGTGCATCGACTACCGAGCTCTTAACAAGCAGACCATCAAGAATAAATATCCGATACCGCGAATCGATGACCTGCTTGACCAGCTTCGGGGAGCTACGGTATTTTCCAAACTGGATCTGCGGTCCGGATACTGGCAGATACGGATGGCGGACAACTCTATCCACAAAACTGCTTTCCGAACTTGGTACGGATCATACGAGTATTTGGTAATGCCGTTCGGACTCACCAACGCACCGGCAACGTTTCAAGCCGAAATGAACCACATTCTACGACCACTTTTGGACGAGTGCGTGGTGGTGTACCTGGACGACATCCTCATCTACTCGCGCGACATAAAGCAGCACGTCGAGCACCTACGACGCGTCTTCGAAATTCTTCGACGAGAACGGTTCTACGTCAAACTGTCCAAGAGCGAATTCGCCCTTGAGAAGGTCCAGTTCCTAGGACACCTGGTGAGCGCTCAAGGAGTTCACGTCGACCCCAAGAAAATCGAAGCCGTACGTACGTGAAAGACACCCGAGAACGTGAAGGAGTTGCAGCAGTTCCTAGGCTTCGCTAATTATTACAACAGGTTCGTGCCACAGTATGCGAAACTTGCAGCACCCCTCACGAATCTGCTGAAGAAGAACACGCCCTATAAATGGGAACCAAAGCACCAAGAAGCCGTGGAGCAGCTGAAACAAGCGCTCACGTCCGCACCGGTACTCATCTTGCCAGATTCCGAACGCGACTACGTAATCAAAGCTGACGCCAGCGACCAGGCAGTGGGAGCAGTCTTGATGCAAGACCAGGGGAATGGACTGCAACCAATCGCCTACCTCAGCAAGAAACTACATGGAGCAGAACTAAACTACCCGATACACGACAAAGAGGCCCTTGCCATCGTCATCGCCTTCAAAGCATGGAGATGTTATCTCAAAGGACGAAGAACAACCGTCTACACTGACCACTGCAGCCTGAAATACTTGAAGACACAACCCAACCTTTCCAGGCGGCAGGTCCGGTGGATCGACTTCCTCGAGACACACTTCCACTACGACATCGTGTACAAGCCCGGCCATAAAAACAAAGCAGACGCTCTTAGCCGGCCTGCACACGTTGCCGCCATTCAGATTGAAGGGATGAATCCACTACTCAAGGGACTCTTCACACACAGGTACGCCATCGACCCCGAAATCTCCTTGGCGGAAAAGCGACATTTGCTACAGTGGGACAGTGACATCGCATACCGGAAAGGATCAACGAAAATTTGGGTACCCAATTACCCTCCTTTGCGCCAGTTACTACTCAAAGAATACCACGACGTCCTATATGCCGGACACTTCGGTAGCAACAAGACGCTCACCGGTATCGCCAAACACTACTACTGGCCCCACATGGCAGATGACGTACAGAAATTCGTAACCTCGTGTGATACATGTCAGCGGATGAAGAGCAGCAAGCAAAAAAAGGCGGGACTACTGCAGCCTCTTCCTGTCCCAGAACAGCCATGGCAAGTGGTTAGCCTAGACTTCATCACCGGGTTACCACCTACCACCAGCGGTCATGACGCAATCCTTGTCGTCATCGACAAGTTCTCCAAAATGGGACACTTCATCCCGACACACACGACGGCGCGCACCGAGGAGACAGCACAACTCTTTGTTCGTCACATCATCTCACAGCATGGCATTCCAACCACACTCATCGCCGACCGAGACCCCAAGTTCACCAGCAAGTTCTGGAAGGAACTTATGTCTCTTCTCGGAACCAAACTTGCCATGTCATCCGCTTACCATCCGCAGACAGACGGACAGACCGAGCGCCTCAACCAAATTGTTGAGCAACTCCTCCGAGCAGCTTGCAAGGACGAGATCTCCAAATGGGACCTGCACCTGCCCGTTCTGGAGTTTGCTTACAACAACGCCACACATGCCGCTACTGGACAGACGCCGTTCTTCCTCTGCTACGAACGCCACCCACTTACACCACAGAAACCGACCATATCCGCTACAGTACAACCTGCACATGATTTCATCACAACAATGCATCAGCTTTGGGATCGGACCCACAGGCGCCTCCTCGACATTCAGCAGCAATAAAAGCGCCAGGCCGATCGCCATCGCAACAACCACACCATCACGGTGGGAGACCAGGTGCTTCTTGACACACGCAACCTGGACATCAGCCACCTCCCATCTAAACTGCGACCTCGCTTCTGCGGGCCTTTTCTCGTTGAAGCACAGGTTACTCCTGTTACCTTCCGCTTGCGTCTGCCAGCCACCTGGAAGATTCACAATGCCTTCCATGTCCAACTTCTGAAGCCCTATCGGGATCCGAACACGATCTTCGTCGGACGCCAACCGCCGCCGCCACCACCCGTCCTCGTCCAGAATGAACCCGAGTACGAGGTCGAGTCCGTGCTTGCACACCGCCGACGTCGGAATGGCGTAGTCGAGCTTCTCATCCGTTGGAAGGGTTATGATCCTTCTGAGGACAGCTGGGTCCCTGAGTCCGACATGGGTAACGCCCGTCGTCCTCTGCATGCCTACCTTGTCAAGCAGGGTGTTACTTCTACCACCCAGCTTTGAGGGGGGGAAGTGTGAGAGTACGACCCCGTTACACCACTTGCCCCTTTTCTTATTTCATTCCTCTTTTTTTATCTCATCTCATTTGGTTTCCTATTCTCCATTTTCCATTAACCTTTGGTTTATCCTGCTATTATAGTTATATCACCGATCAGGCTTGGGATGTACTGGTGCGCTATCTGGCGTAATCCTGCCGTAATCCCTTAAAGCCAATAGCCCCGCGTGGCTATACGCAGGGTGATTCTATCTTCTAGAAGGGTCTATTCCCTTCGGATAAGATAAACCTGGTTACCTGATGTACTTTGGAAGTATAAAAGCGCCTTGTACTGATCGATAGTGCAACCTTTCCTCGACACATTCGATCCTGTGACAGGCAGGATCAGGCGATCGACAAAGGCAGAGGGCGGGGTGGAATAGCGCGTGACAACAGCCTCTAGGAACTCCTGCGTAGTCCTAACCTACCTAAAGCGGGGGCGCTCAGACAGGGGGAGGGCATGACTAATCGCGAGCTGAGCGAAGGCATCACACTACAACCAGACAGCACGGGCAAGGGTAGCAGCGGTAGTGGACTTGCGTTCAGCAGACAAGGGGTCAGCGGGCAGAGAAGCAGGGGGGTCAGGGCAGGGAAGCGTATCGTTGATGTGGAGGGCGAGGGAGTGGCCGTCCTGCCGCTGACCAGTGAGGTGACGGCGGAGGTCGACGAGCCACGTGTCGAACTCAACCAGCTGACCCTCCGCGTCAAAGCGCAGCACCGAGTCTGCCATCATGGTCGTTGCAACAGCAGAGAAGGCGGTAGTGGGCTGTACTGAGCGACAGAGGGCGGTGAGAAGCAGTGGTGTGCGGTGCGGGGCAGTGCGGTAGACTGCGGTAGAGTGAGGTGCAGTACGGTAGGGTGCGGTGCAGTGTGGTGCAGGGTGGTGCTGTACGGTGCAAGGCGGTGGAGTGCGGTGCAGTGCGGTAGAAAGGGCGGATGATGCAAGGTGGGAGCCGCAGAGGCAGCTGAGGGACGGGGCCGCGAGGAGGCTGGGCGGCGTGGCCGCGGGGCGGCCGGTTAACAGGGGCCACGTTGTGAGCTGGATACGAGGCCGCGGGCGGCGAGGCGACGGGGCCGGCTAGGCGTCTAGGAGACGGGGGACTGGTTAGGCGACGGGGCCGGTGAGGCGACATGGTCGACTGGGCGACGGGGCCGATCGGGCGACAGGGCCGGCTGGGCGACGGGGCTGGCTAGGCGACGGGACCGGCTAGGCTTCGGGGCCGGTTAGGCATCGGGGCCAGCTAGGTGACAGGGCCGGCTGAGCGACGGGGCCGGCTGGGCCACGGGGCCGGCTAGGTGACACGGCCGACTAGGCGACGGGGCCGGCTAGGCGACGGGGCCGGCTAGGCGACGGGACAGGCTAGGCGATGGGGCCGACTAAGCGATGGGGCCAGCTAGGCGTTAGGTGAGGGGGGCCACTAGGGGACGGGCCAGCACGGGTGGGAGGGCGACGGGGTGGCTAGGACCTATGGCGGAAGCGTTGGTGGGCGGGGGGGACCGAACCTATTCTGATACCATATCAAAGTAAACGAATGAATAGAACCATGGCATACAAGGGAATATAACCTAGTGGGTTGTACTCTCTAAGGCACAACCCTGTGTAGTCTATAACAACATACAAGAATATGTTTGACAGGCATCACGAGGCCATGACATAAGGGGACGGGCTGCCAGCAGCCCTCCCCATGGCATTACAAGGCCATGTCATAAGGGGACGGGCTGCAAGCAACCCCCTCCATGGCATCAGGAGGCCATGGCATAAGGGGACGGGCTGCTAGCAGCCCCCCCCCCATGGCATCACGAGGCCATGACATAAGGGGACGGGCTGCTAGCAGCCCCCCCCATGGCATCACGTGGCCATGGCATAAGGGGACAGGCTGCCAGCAGCCCCCCCCATGGCATCACGAGGCCATGGCATAAGGGGACGGGCTGCCAGCAGCCCCCCCCATGGCATCACGAGGCCATGAAATAAGGGGACGGGCTGCCAGCAGACCCTCCCATGGCATCACGAGTCCATGACCGAGATGATGGGAGAGACTGAGAGGGGTGCAGCAGCCCACACATGGAGCAGCTTAAGGGGGGGGAGAGGGGGGGAGTCGACAAACCAAGAGAGGACCAGAGACATGAGAGAGGGATAGGTCCTACCAAACAGGGTAAGGAAGCGAGGGGCATACACGAAGCAATACAGGTCGGGAGAGAGGGGGGGAGGGGAGGGGATGTGCCGAAGGAAGTTTAATGGAGACGTAAAAGACAAAATAGGAGCAGCATTGAACGATGAAAGGAAAATCTTACCAAGGTGTGGTGAGGTGGCCATACTCCCCTCTCTGGTGGCATCAGCAGCACCAGAACAAGCAGCAGCAGCACGGGCAAGCATAACAAATTCCTCTTATGCACAAGTAGAGGGGGACGAAAGGGGAGGGGATGTGGAGGGGGGGGAAGGGGGGGGAAAGAAGGGGAAGGGGAAGAGGGGGGGAGACATGGCAAGAAGATGAGTATTTGACCGAGGTCGAAACGACACGAACAAAGTGCGCCACAACCACAATCTATGCGCGCTAATACATGACGTGCAGAGGGGAGAAGGAACAGTATGCGCGCAATGCGCAACAAAAGGAAACGCTACGCCCGCCTACTCCTCTCCGCTGCCCACTCTGCTCCTCTCCGCTGCCCTCTCTGCTCCTCTCCGCTGCCCTCTCTGCTCCTCTCCGCTTCCCACTCTGTTCATCTCCGCTGCCCACTCTGCTCCTCTCCGCTGCCCTCTCTGCTCCTCTCCGCTGCCCTCTCTGCTCCTCTCCGCTGCCCACTCTGCTCCTCTCCGCTGCCCTCTCTGCTCCTCTCCGCTACCCTCTCTGCTCCTCTCCGCTGCCTTCTCTGCTCCTCTAGCGAAAGGCGCTGATCGAAAGGCGCTTAACAAAATGCTCCTAACGAGCGGTGCCGATCGAAAGGCGCCTAACGGAAGACGCCTAACGAACGGCGCTTACCGAAAGGCCCCCGATCGAAAGGTGCCTAAATGAATGCGCTTAACGAACGGCGCTTAACGAAAGGACCCGATCGAAAGGCGCCGAACGGAATGCGCCTAACGAATGGCACTTACCGAAAGCCCCAATCGAAACGCGCATAACGGAATGTGTTCGAATGAAAGAATGACTAGAATAGGAGGATACAGGGCAATATAGACTAGCGTGTTGTACCCTCTAAGGCACAAACCTGTATAGTCTACAGTAACAACCTAAGTTATGTTTGACACACCCCCTAGACTATATAGGGGCAGTGCCTAACAAGGGAATAAGCAGCTCAGGGCGGCACTACTAGTCCAGCCTCTGAGACAAGGGTCTAAAGACCAGTCAAAAGGAGTACAGACAAGGCAAGAGCAAGACCAGGGCAGCACTACTAGTCCAGCCACTGGGAGAGGCCACAAGGCCAGTCAGAGTAAAATATAAAGGACACTGCAAAGTCAAGGCCCTAGCAAGTGAGAGGCTACAGGAACGAGACCTAGCTGTACACAGTGCCGCTGATGATCTTTAGGCGCAAGCGCCTTCATAAAGATATCAGCTGTGTTGGCACCGGGGGCCAGGTGTACTACGCGAGCCTGGCGGCGCTGCTGTAGCTCGCGCAGGAGGAAGTACCACAGCGGAATATGCTTCGCTCTGCCCTCGAGTCGAGGCTCCTGACACAGGAGGATCATGGCCCTGCTGTCAGCGTACAGGACCGGGGCAGAGCTAGGCCGCTCACCTAAGTCAGTGAGCAAGAAGGTCAGCCAGCGGAGATCCTATGCCGCCAAGGCACCGGCGTAGATCTCGGCCTCACAGCTGGACTAGGCAACAGACAAGGAGCGGGTAGCTCTCCACGAGATGGCACCTGAACCAAGGCTAAAGCAGTAGCCCTGCGAGGACCTGAGGGTCTCGGCATCGTCCACCCAAGAAGCGTTTGTGTGTTTAGTAAGGACCACTGGCCTGCGTCCTCCTAGCACTAGCCCCATGCCCGATGTACTTGCAAGATAACGCAAAACCCTCTTAGCGGCAGACCAGTGCTGAGGTCGGTGTCTGCCACAAAGCGAGCCAGGATGCTGAGAGGGTATGCGAGATCTAGGCGAGTGCAACTCATCAGGTACATGAGGCAACCCACTAGCTCTGCAAAAGGACCACTGGGCTCTACTGACTCCTCAGGAACTGGAGCTGAGAGCTTGTGATGTACAGGCAGAGGAGTGGGCTGTGCGTAGGAGAACTGAAGGCCGAACCTCTGAAGAACCTGGCGCACCAAGTGTGACTGAGTCAAAGTGATGGTGCGGGCTGCTCTGTCCCTGGAGATCTGCAGGCCGAGGTAGTGGCGCAGTTCTCCAAGGTCAGTGCAGGTGTGTCTCTTCAGCAGCTCTGCCTTCACGGAGGCAAGTCCGTCCCTGTCTGCAGTGGCGAAGACCAAGTCGTCTACATAAAGAAGGATGTAGAACGGAGTCTGGCCAGCACGAACGAAGAGCGAGGGGTCTGCAGAGGACGGAAAGAAATGCAGGTCAGCAAGGGTAGCACGCAGCGTGTCATGCCATTCACAGGGAGCCTGCCGCAGGCCGTAGACGGGGCGCCGCAGGAGCCACTGGGTCCCAGGAGGGAAGGTACCAGTGAGCCCCTCAGGGCGGCACAGGTAGACCTGCTCGTGTAGACTGCCCTGAAAAAACGCAGTGGAGAAGTCGAGGGAGTGAAGCTCGTAGTCACACTGAGCTGCAACGTGTAGCAGCACCCGAAGAGTAGTCATCTTTGGGGTCGGAGCGAAGGTCTGAAAGAAGTCCACCCCCTCACGCTGACTGAAACCTCTAGCCACGGAGCGCGCCTTGAACACAGGCAGCTCTCTAGGAGGGCGCTTCACATTGAAGAGCCAGCGGCCATTGACTACGTTCACCCTAGGTGGGGGAACTACGTCGATGTAGGTGCCGGTGGATCTCCAAGATGCCATCTCCTGCTCTATGGCAGCTATCCACTGAGAGGCCCAAGGTCCCGAGACCGCCTCAGGGTAAGTGCGAGGGGTCGAAAGTGTCGAAAGTGTCTGGGTAACCCTCAGGGACTAGCAGCATGGAACAGAGATAGGGAGCAGCCTCGGACAGGAAAGCAAGCTCGTACTGACGGTCCTCCAGGACGTCACTGCCGAGGGCAAGAGCACCCTCGACAGACGGAGGATAGACAGGGTCAGAGACCAGAGCGGTGGCGTGGCATGGCGGCGGGTAGACACGAATTCAGCAACCGCAACGACAAGAGCGTCAAGACGCGAAACCGGAACAGACGGTTCGGTAACAAGAGAGGCAAGGACCCGAGGAACAAGCGGACGAGCGGCACGAATGTAGTCAGACAGAGGGGCAGGCGCAACGACAAGGGAGGACGGAGGAGGCGACGGTAGAAGGGGAGGACGAGACGCGTGGGAACGAAGCAACATAGGATGAGAGCGAAGGACAGGGGAGACCGGGCGAGCACGGGAGGGACGTCGAGACCAGACGTGAGACAGAGGCGTCGGGTCAGGAGACAGAGGAGGAGACAGAAGAGGGGAACGAGGGGGGAGACGAGCCGGGGACCAGTCGGGAGGGGGGGAACACAGGGCCGTAGACCGGAAGAGGAGGGGACGACAGGACAGGAACAGACACAGGGTCAGGGGACGGAAGGCGGAGCAGGCGAAGGGCTGACACCGGCGGGGACTGCGGCTGCTGCGGCACAACACCGACTCGAGGACCAAAAGCGGCTCCACGGCTACCGCCGGAACACTCCTCTCTCGCACCCCCAGAAGGAACACCCCCAGAGCCAGAAACGCCTCCAGCACCGGTACCACTCCCAACTCCAGCACCACCAGAGGCGATGAACGGCTGCTGCAGCAGTGACGGCGGCTGTGGCGACGACGACTGCGGCGGCAGTGGCGACGGCTGCTGATGCGGCGATGACTACGGCTGCTGGGGCGGAGGAGGAGGAGACACCAGGTGGGGGGCAGGCGGCAAGGACTGGGCCGCAGGACCACCAGAGTCAGCTGACTCCTCAACCGGGACAACCGACGGGAGGGGGGTGACATGAGATACACCGGACGGGGCAGGACGCGGGGGGGGCGGGGCTGGTGCTACCAGCGATGGGGGAACCAGGAACAGGGGGGGGTAACTGGGGGACCACGGTGGGGAAAGCGGTGGTAGAAGGAGACGGACTTGTCAAAGGTAACGTCGCGGGAGTGAAAGAAATGGTGGGACGGCGGGTCATAGAAGTGCCAGTCAGACGAGTCAAGCGGGAAACCAAGGAAGACACAGGGGACGGTGCAGGCAGTAAGCTTGTCCGTGCCAGAGGCACGAACGTGAGCAAGGCAGCCCCGGACGTGGAACGCAGACGCATCACCAGGGGACCCGGTCCAAAGAAGGGTCGGCGAAACCTGCGGCCGCTGAGGGTGCGGCCACATGTTTAGCTGGAGAGCAGCGTAGCGAACAGCGAACGGCCACAGAAAATGGGTTGCACCGGCATGGATCATGGAGGTACGAGCCACCTCCATGACCAAACCCATGCGTCGCTTGGCGACCCCGTTTTGCTGCGACGAGTCCAGTAGGGTGAACGTCTGAGTGATGCCCTCCGCCCGACATAAGCGACCAAGGACGCCGGAGGCAAACGTGCCCCCACGGTCGGAGTGAAGACGCAGGGCAGGGAGACCGTGGTGGACACACGCAGAGACTAGCCGGGGGATAAGAACGCCAGGCACGTCGGCCTTCTGCTCCAAAGGAAAAACTGTGATGTAGTGCAAGTCGTCGTCAACAAGCACGAGGAAGTAGCGCTCGCAACGCGGCCCATTGACGGGGGCGAGGCCCCAGACGTCCATGTGCAAGGTCTGTAGCGGTGCGGTGGTGGGGGGGAAAGAGGAGGAGTGAGGGGCACGGCTGAGCCGACCCTCTACGCACGACGTGCAAGGCGGCACTGTGGAGGGGGGCAACTCGGGGAATGACCCTGGGAGGCCTAGGACAAGACCGTGCCGTGACATGTGACGCAGACGCGGGAGCACAGGGTGACCTAGACGGTGGTGCCACAGGAGGGTCAGGTGAGTAAGCGACTGACACGAGCAGGCCGCTGCAACCTGAGACGACACAGCTACCTGGGGAGGCGTCCGAACCGGGGGGGGGGCGCGGTGTCCAGTATGAACAGGCCAGACACCGGGTCCGGGGAGAATGTAGTGAGGGGAGCACCAGTGGCGGCCTCAGTACAGACAACAAACCGCTCGTGACCAGGGAACGTAGTGGTGACGCCAAGGTCCTGGAGGCAGCCAACACCAGCTAGGTTCCTGGAAAACGAGGGGACGTGCAGGCTTGTAAGCGAGCCCGAAGGAGCCGCCGGACAGGGAAGGGTGGTAGAACTACGAGTGACTACCAGACCTGAGGAGGGGTCAGCAAGGGAAAGCGCAGCAGGAGCAGCAAGCGGGGTCAGCGTAGTGGAGTCACGGAAGAAACACCGAGAAGCGCCAGAGTCCAGGGTGAAGGAGAGCGCAGCAGTGGCGGCCGGAGTCGGAACAGGGACGGAGGAACCTAGGCGAAACAAGGCAGGAGGGCCTACACCTGACGCAGCAGGGGGGGCAAGACTAGGCACACCTACACTTGGCAACACGGGGTAGTAAGAACCAGTCACACTAGAGTCATCAACACAGAGCACATACAGGGCAAAGCTAAGCTCATCCATGTCCATATAAAAAATCGGAATACTATGGCGAAGCAAGCTGAACCAGTCGGTGAGGTCGGGCGACGGGCCGAAACGAAGACGAAACAGGTCGTCAAGGCGACAGAAGTAGCTAACATGGGAGTGACCGGTCTTACCACAAAAGGAGCCGCAGCGAGGAACGGTCAGGAGCTGGTACTAGCAGCGCCCGTCACCCGAACTGCCGCCCGGGGGCACGCCACGCGCACGTCCACCACCACGCCCACTGCCGCCACCAGCGCCAAGCCACCTGGGCGGGAGACCACCCGCCCGCCTCTGCGGCTGCGGCTGCTGCGACGGTTGCGGCTGCTACGGCGGGAGCTGAGGCTGCGGCTGCGGGTGGTGCTGGGGCGGCTGTGACGGCTTCGGCTGCTGAGACGGCTGCTCGGCTACACCTGTCAGGGTCCCCTCGTCAGCGCTACCACCAGGCGACTCGACTCCACCACCACCTGCACCTGCACCCCCACCCCCTCCATTGCGCCCAGCCTTGGGGCGGCGACCCTTCCCCGGACGGAACTGCGCTGCAGCTGCACTCTCAGCCACAGCAGAGGAACCGTCGGAGAAGGTGCACTGGGCAGGGGCACAACCCTGAAAGATAGGGACCAGCACAGTACCCCTAGTCTTGGCGATAGAGCGGTGGCGGGTCTCTATGGCTGACAGGGTGTCCACAATGTCGGTGAGGGTGAGGTCACCGGGGTGGACACTAAGGAAGCGGTCGCGGGCAGTTGCAAGACAGTCAGGGAGGCGGGTGGCGAGCAAGTAGAGGGCAGAGCAGAGGGGCGGCTGATCGGCTCTAAGCTGGGTCTCAGTGCAGGCAGAGCGCCAGGTCGAGTTTATCGTCCGCAGGTGAGCGGCCAGGTCAGCGACAGTGGGGAAAGACGCAAGGTCAGGGAAAAGCATCGGTAGGATCAGGCGACCTACAAAGGCAGCAGGCAGGGTGGAATAGCGCTGGACAACAGCATCTAGGAACTTCTGCGCAGTCGTGACGGACCTAAAGCGAGGGCGCTTAGTCAGGGGGAGGGCATGGTTGATAGAAAGTTGCGCAACAGCGTCACGCGACAGCCAGACAAAGCGAGCAAGGGCAGCAGCTGCAGCGGACTCACACTCAGCAGACGAGGGGTCAGCGGGCAGCGCAGCAAGGGGGTCAGGGCAGGGAAGCGTACCGTCAAGGTGAACAGACAGCGAGTGGCCATCCTGCCGCTGGCCGGTGAGATGGCGACGGAGGTCGACCATCCACGCGTCAAACTCAAGCGACTGACCCTCAGCATCGAAGCGAAGCACGTCCGCCATCAGGAATGATGCAGCAGCAAGGAAGGGCGATGCGGTGCTGTGCAGTGCGGTACAGTGCGGTGCAGGGCGGTGCTGTGCGATGCAGTGCGGTGCAGTGCAGTACAGTGCGGTTCAGAGCAGTAGGACAAGCCGGGCACGAGTCGGAGGTGGGTCGGCGACGAAGCTAGGTCGGGGCCGGCGCGGAACTGGCGCAAGGCCGAGGAGCCGGCGAGGAGCGGGCGCGAGACCGACGAGGGGCGGGCGCGAGGGGCCGGCTAGAAGCAGGCACGGGGCCGAGGAGGGGCCGGCGCGACTGTCGCGAGGGGCCGGCTAGGAGCGGGTGCGGGGCCGAGGAGGGGCGGGCGCAAAGGGCCGGTTAGGAGCGGCCACGTGGCCGATGAGGGGCGGGCGCGACTGGCGCGTGGGGCCGGCTAGGAGCGGGCGCGACGAGGGCGCGCGTGGGGCCGACTAAGACGAGCGCGTCAGGGGGGCGCGTGGGGCCGGCTAGGACGGGCGCAACGGGCACATGAGGCCGGCTAGGAACGGGCGCGGCAGGCGCGCAGAGCCGGCTAGGAGCGGGCGCGACGAGGGCGCGCGTGGGGCCAGCTAGGACGAGCGCGTCAGGGGGCGCGTGGGGCCGGCTAGGACGGGCGCGTGGGGCTAGCTAGGGCGGGCGCGACGGGCGCGTGAGGCCGGCTAGGGCAGGCGCGGCAGGGGGCGCATGGGGCCAGCTAGGAACGGGCGCGACGGGTGGGCGCGTGGGGCCCACTAGAAACAGGCGCTACGGCCAGAGGAGCCGGCTAGGACGGGCGCTAGGGGCGCCTAGGAGCGAGCGCTAGAGGCGGCTAGGAACGGGTGCTAGGGCGGCTAGGGCCTAGGGCGGAAGCGCGGGCAGGCGAGATGGATCTAACCTACTCATGATACCATGTTCGAATGAGAGAATGACTAGAATAGGAGGATACAGGGCAATAAAGACTAGCGTGTTGTACCCTCTAAGGCTCAAACCTGTATAGTCTACATTAACAACCTAAGTTATGTTTGACAGAATGCGCCTAACGAATGGCGCTTACCGAAAGGCGCCTGTCGAATGGGGCCTAACGAAAAGGGCTTAACAGCGTCTATCGGAAGGCGCCTAGCCTTACTACCAACCTTAATAACCAGCTTTGATTAGAACGCGCTTTCACCCTATAGGCGGTGGGGGAGAAGGTAGTTGAGCCAAGGGAAAAAGGAGAAAATAGGATAAGGGAGTGCGTGGAAACTGAGGTTACGAACTCAAGCTTGTACTTCCACCATTCCACTAATATTCCAACCTCGTCAGCCTTCAACTCAATCGTACCAAACCGCTTTCCACCTCGCTGAAAGTTGGAACTGTGCGCGTAGCGTAGCCTGGAGGAGTAGGTCTAGGGTTGTGACTATGCTGAGTTGGTTGGTTGGTGGTTGTTCACTGGAGGGAGATTGCCCTTGCTGATTCGGGGTTTGCTGATTGGCCCAACAAACAAAATCGCTTGGGTGGAAAGTTTGGGTAAGGTTTGCATTACGACCAATAGAAATCACCCAAACATGAATTTCGCCTGCCCAGAAACAGCGTTGTACTTTCGACTGACCCATCCAGAGTGAAGGGTTCCTCGTCGGAAATCTGGCGGAAAACCAATTGGGATCAGCTGGACATTGTTCGCGGCACGGCAATGCCAAAACACAGCTTGTGTTTCGCCGTTTTTGGGCTGTTCGGCTGCAGAACGGAGGGGGGGTTTTTTGTGATGTTGGACCCGCCATTGATTTACCGTTTTCATTTTCCCTGCTAACCTTGGCTTTATTCTAGAAAAAACAAGAGACAAGCAGCTTTCAGTTTTTGCTGGGACGCACGCTGCCGTACACTGTGGTTGTAGGTACAGCGAATATTTTGTATCTGGAAGGCGAGGCGTGTCGTTTTTTTGGCGAGCCATTTCAATCCATGGCGTGGCGTGCCGCTTTTTTAGGGAGGCTTCCGTGCCGACGAGTCACAACTCACGATTCACGAGTCACGAGTCATGGACCCGTTGAGTGCCGACACGACTGCGACTCGCAAGATGGCTGAGTTTTCTGTTGCAGGCAAGGAGCTTCATGACAGGTGATAGGCCGGCGCACTCGCGCTGACTGAGGTGCCTCGCGTGACAGCTGCAGCAGCCATGGTCGGTTCTGAATGGTTGGCACCATGGCAGGTTTCCATACAGATTTCCAGTTTTTTATATTCGGTTCTCATGGCCCCACGTGAGTCGCGCGCCCGTGTAAGAGAAACCGGGCATGTATGTTCCGTACACTGTGACTGTACGTACAGTACCTAAGGCCGCCGTGCTCGCGCTGACTGTGCTGCTTCGCGTTGCTGTACACTGTTTCCTTTCCTGATAAAGTAGCTTTTGTGTTTGTTCATCAAGCATGATGACGGCGGTTGCGCGTTACAGCTTCGTTGTACCACAGACCGGTGCACGAGCGAACGACACGCGAGGCGTCACGCGCCAACGACACACCCGGCGAACGGCATGGTTTTTTTTTTTTTCTTCTTCTTCTCCTTCTTCTTCAGAATTCCAGAAAACAACGGCACGATTTGCATCGTACAGCCAAGAGAGCGACACGCGGTCAATCGTTATTTCAAGTACCAATCGTGGCTCTTCTTTCTTTGAAGGAGCTCGACTCATCAGGAATCCCCATCTTTCCCCAGGAGTATCATAGTACTCCTAAAGCGGCCTTCTACTTCTGCCTGTAAAGCTGTGGCAACGGCAACATCTCGATCCCCCGGTCGTCACTCCTCGCTCGAGATACTCTCCGTGGTGTTACTGCTCGCGAAAGAGAATCTCCATTGTGTTACTACTGTACCTCTTTAGTCGGCGGGTGGCCCCTCAGCACTCCTCCCATGGCGGCTATTGGTCCCTTGGCTACCAGCGGAAGCAGAGTGCTCCCTGCCGTTTGCGTTCTGCTCACCTTGCTTGTCCTCCCTGCAGGTTCGTGTACTAACGTCCCAACATGTCTAATTTATTCCAAACAATGAGAGTTCTGTTTGCTGATAACTTATGGCTGTCGTCATACACCACACCATTTTCACATACTCGTGGGCATTGGAGTTGGTTCATTCTCCACTGCGAACATATCACGCCAGCCTTTTCCTGTCTCTCCCCCTTCCCGCCCTGTTGGTGTCGGGCAGTTGCCCCCAATACTTAGCCGTTCACTGCATCTGTTTGTATCGCCCTTTCTCCTCCCCTCTCATGTGCAGCTGTGGCTGCGCCTGCGCCTTCCCCCCCCCCCCTTCCCCATCCCAGCCTTTCCCCCTTTCCCCCCCCACGCACCCAACCCTTTCCCCTTACTCCCCTTCCCCCACCCATTCACCCTATTCCCCTTACCTCCTCCCTCCTCCCCCCTCTCCCCCCCCCCCCAACCCCAACCTCTCTTCTCTAACCCTAGTGCACCTGTTTTTCTAACCCTTTCTCTTCCTCCACCCTTGCAGCAGTGGCTGCGCCTGCAGCACCAGCAGGTGTAACATCCGCTCCCCTCCCTTCCCCCCCTACCTTTCCCTCTCCCTTCCCCTCCCTTCCCTAATCCTGGTGCATGTTTTTCCTAATCCGCTCTCTTCCCCTCTTCCCCCCCCCCTTCTCCACCCACCCCCCCCTCCTCCCCCCCTGTGCAGCAGTGGCTGCGCCTGCACCGCCAGGCGGAGGCTTCCCGCCCCCTCCTCCAGGCCCAGGCTTTCCGCCCCCCCCTCCAGGCCCAGGCTTCCCGCCCCCCCCTCCAGGCCCGGGCGGCGCAACCCCCCCCGCGCCCTCCAACTGTGCAGTCAAGCAGCGGCGCATTTGCCCCTGGTTCTGTGACAGGGATGACAATAGCGGGGATGGGCCATGCCTGTTGAAGAAGGCTTGTCCCCAGGGGCAGATCTGCATCCCCTTTGTAAGGAGCTGCAAGGGGTACAAGTGCGTCAAGATATTCCCTGGAAGCAAATAAGAACTAGAACTTAGCAAACATTGGAAACCTTTTGTCATGTTGTGGTAGATTTGGAAGTATTGTCCCTGCCTCCCCCAGGTATCCCCAGGTTTGTGCGAAAGACCACCTGACAAGTTACGCAGTGCACCCCCTTACGTGACTACACCACCTTGTGCTGTGATGGGTGCATTGATTCCATTGATTGCTTTGCTGGCGCCTCCCTTGCCCACTGCCCCCAGTGCTGAGTGCCTGCCTTTGGACATACCGTAATCTCCCGGCATGATCACCCTATGTCATAAGGGAGGTAATTATTAAGACCCATAGACATTTATTTTCTACTTACGAGATTGTTTTTTGTATGTACACTTGAGGACCAGCGGATTCTCTTCCTCAGCCTGTCGTAGACTCACCAGTCAAATTCCTGCTATGGTCAATTTTCTGTAGGCCTACTGCATGAACCCCTTGTGCTAACGCGGTGCGAAGGTGTCAAATGTAACTTAGGTTGTTATTGTAGACTATACTGGATAATGTCTTAGAGGGTGTAACACCCTAGTCTATATATCCTTGTACACACACATTCTATTTCAATAATTTTCTTTCTGATATGGTATCATAGTAGAGTAGATCCCCCCCTAGCCCGCTCACGCTTCCGCCCCTACGTGTCAAACATGTGTATTTGTCATGTTTGTATAAACTGTATAGGGTAGCCTCTTAGAGGGTACAACACTTAGGTATATCTCTGTGTACCCTCTCTCTAACCATCATTCACTTCAATTTCTGATATGGTATCACGCGTAGGTAGGATCCCCCCCCCCACCTACCGCTTCCGCTCGCCCCTAGCCCCGTCGCGCCCCTTCCTGGAACCCGTCGCGCCCCTCCCTGGGCCCCGTCGCGCCCCTTCCCAGGCCCCGTCGTGCCCCTCCTGGGCCCCGTAGCGCCCCTCCTTTGCCCCGTCGCGCTCCTCCTAGGCCCCGTAACGCCCCTCCTGGGCCTCGTCGTGCCCCTCCTGGGCTCCGTAGCGCCCCTCCTGGGCCCCGTCGCGCCCCTCCCAGGCCTTGTCGCGCCCTTTCTGGGCCCTGTAGCGCCCCTCCTGGGCCCCGTCGCGCCCCCCCCAGGCCCCGTAGCGCCCCTCCTGGGTCCCGTCGCGCCCCTCCCAGGCCCCGTCGCGCCCCTCCTGGGCCCCGTAGCGCCCCTCCCAGGCCCCGTAGCGCACCTCCTGGGTCCCGTCGCGCCCCTCCCAGGCCCCGTAGCGCCCCTCCTGGGCCCCGTCGCGCCCTCCCAGGCCCCCTCCAGGCCCGTAGCGCACCTCTTGGTCCCGTCGCGCCCTCCCAGGCCCCGTAGCGCCCCTCCTCGGCCCCGTCGCGCCCCTCCCAGGCCCCGTAGCACCCCTCCTGGGCCCCGTCGCGCCCCTCCTAGGCCCCGTAGCGCCCCTCCTGGGCCCCGTCGCGCCCCTCTTGGGCCCCTGCAGCGCCCCTCCTGGGCCCCCCGTCGCACTCGCCCGGCCCCGTCGCACCAGCCCGGCCCCGTCGCACCAGCCCGGCCCCGTCCTGCTCGCCCGGCCCCGTCGCACCCGCCCGGCCCTGTCGCACCCTGCCCGGCCCCGTCGCATCCGCCCGGCCCCGTCGCACCAGCCCGGCCCCGTCGCGCCCGCCCGGCCCCGTCGCACCTGCCCGGCCCTGTCGCCCCCGCCCGGCCTCGTCGCCCCTGCCTGGCCCCGTTCTGCTCGCCCGGCCCCGTCGCCCCGGCCCGGCCCTGTCGCACCAGCCCGGCCCCGTCGCGCCCGCCCGGCCGTCGCGCCCGCCCGGCCCCGTCGTCCTCGCCCGGCCCGGTCGCACCTGCCCGGCCCCGCTGCCCCGGCCCCGTCCTCCTCACTGGTACGGTTCCCCCCCACCCCGCCCTGCACTGCCCTGCACCGTACCGCCACGCACCACACTGTACTGCCTTACACCGCACTACACCGCGCTGCACCGCACTGCGTCGCACTGCACCGCACTGTACCGCATTGCACCGCACTGCATCGCACTGCACCGCACTGTACCGCACTGCACTGCACTGCACCGCCCTGCACCGCACTGGACTGTTCCTGATGGCGGCGGAGCTTCGCTTCGACGCTGAAGGTCAGCCCCTAGAGTTCGAGGCGTGGCTTGCCGACCTCCGCCGCCAACTCACTGGCCAGCGGCAGGATGGTGAACCGCTTTCTGCACACCTTGACGGTACGCTCCCCTGCCCAGACCCCCTTGCTATTCTGCCCGCTGACCCCACACCCACTGAGCGTGAGTCTACTGCTGCCACTGCCCGTGCGCGCTCTGTCTGGCTTTCTCGCGATGCTGTCGCCCAGCTTGCCATTAGCAACGCCCTCCCCCCGTCCGAGCGTCCTCGCTTTAGGTCCCTCACTACTGCTCAGGCATACTTAGATGCTGTCATCAAGCGCTATTCCACCCCTCCGGCTGCCTCGGTGGGTCGCCTGATCCTCCCGATGCTCTTTCCTGACCTTGCATCTTTCCCCACTGTCTCTGACCTCGCTGCCCACCTGCGCTCGATAGAGGAGACCTGGCGCGCCGCCTGCACTGACGCACAGCTTAGAGCCCACCAGCCGCCCATTACCTCTACCCTCTACCTGCTTGCCACCCGCCTCCCTGACCGCCTTGCTGTCGCCCGCGACCGCTTCCTTAGCCTTCACCCTGCCGACCTCACCCACACTGACTTTGTCGACACCCTGACTGTGATAGAGACCCGTCACCGCTCCATCGCCCAAGCGAGCGGTGTCGTGCCTGTCCCTATCTTTCAGGGTTGTGCCCCCGCCCAGTGTACCTTCTCCGACGGCTCTGTAGCAGTGGCTGAGACTGCTGCTGCAGCGCAGTTTCGTTCGGGGAAGGGCCGCCGCCCCAAGGTTGGGCGCGGCGGAGGCGGCGGCGGGGGTGCGGGAGGGGGTAGTGGTGGGGTCGGGTCGTGGAGCGGACGAGGGGACCCTGCCCAGTCCAGCTGAGCCGCCGCCTCTGCAGTTGCAGCAGCCGCAGCAGTCGCCGCAGTCGCAGCAGCCGCCGCTGCCGTCGCAGACGCGGCAGACGAGTGTCCTCCCGCCCGGGTGGCCCGGCGCTGGCGGTGGCCGTGCGCGTGGTGGTGTGTCGAGTGGTAGCTCTGGCGGCGGGCGCTGTCAGTACCAGATCCAGACCGGTCCTCGCCGCGGCTTCGTTTGCGGTAAGATCGGTCACTCCACTCCCCGCTGTTTTCGTCGCCTGGACGACCTCTTTCGTCAGCGCTTCGGCCCGTCGCCAGACCTCCCAGACTGGCACAGTTTGCTTAGTCGTAAGATTCAGATCTTTGATATGGACATGGATGCCATTGTTTCTGCTCTGCATGTGATGTATGCTGATGACTCTAGTGTGCTTCCCGCTTATTACTCACTGTTGCCTAGTGTAGGTGTGCCTAGTGTACCCTCCCCTGCTGCGTTAGGCGTAGGATCCTCTGCTTTGTGTAGCCTTGGTGCTTCCGCCGTCGTTCCGTCGCCAGACGCCTCTGCTTCGCTTTCCTTCACCTTGGACTCTGGCGCTTCTCGGTGTTTCTTCCGCGACTCCACCACCCTGACGCCGCTTCCCGTCCCTGCTGCCGTTTCTCTCGCTGACCCCTCTGGCGGTCCGGTAGTCGCCCGCAGTTCCACCACCCTTCCCTGTCCGGCGGTTCCTTCGGGCTCTCTTACAGGTCTGCATATCCCCCCGTTCTCCAGGAACCAAGTTGGTGTCGGCTGCCTCCAGGACCTTGGAGTCACCACTACGTTCCCTGGTTACGAGCGGCATGCTGTCTGTACCGAGGCCGCCACTGGTGCCCCCCTGTCCACGTTCCCCCGGGACCCGGTGTCCGGCCTGTTCACTCTGGACACTGTGACCCCCCCGGCTGGAGCGCTCACCCAGGTTGCTGCCGCCTGCTCCTGTCGGTCCCTCACTCACCCGACCCTCCTTTGGCACCACCGCCTAGGTCACCCTGCGCTCCCGCGTCTGCGTCACATGTCCCAGCACGGTCTTGTCCTTGGTCTCCCAGGTTCTCTCCCTGCGTTTCCCTCCTCCCCAGCCCCACCTTGCACGCCTTGTGTCGAGGGTCGGCTTCGCCGTGCCCCTCACTCCTCCTCGTTTCCCCCTACCGCCGCGCCGTTGCAGACCCTGCACCTGGACGTATGGGGCCCCGCCCCTGTCCCTGGGCCGCGTCGAGAGCGTTACTTCCTTGTGCTTGTCGACGACTTCACACGCTACACCACAGTCTTTCCCCTGGAGCGCAAGGCCGACGTGCCTGGCGCTCTCATCCCCTGGCTTGTCTCTGCGCGTGTCCACCGCAGTCTCCCTGTCTTGCGTCTTCACTCAGACCGTGGTGGCGAGTTTGCCTCAGGTGTCCTTGGTCGCTTTTGTCGTGCGGAGGGCATCACCCAGACGTTCACCCTACCGGACTCCCCACAGCAGAATGGGGTCGCTGAGCGACGCATCGGTTTGGTCATGGAGGTGGCTCGCACCTCCATGATCCATGCCGGTGCACCCCATTTTCTGTGGCCGTTCGCTGTGCGCTACGCTTCTCACCAGCTTAACCTGTGGCCGCACCCTCAGCAGCCGCAGGTTTCGCCGACCCGTCTTTGGACTGGGTCTCCTGGTGACGCGTCTGCGTTCCACGTCTGGGGCTGCCTTGCTCACGTCCGTGCCTCCGGCACGGACAAGCTCACTGCCCGCACCCTTCCCTGCGTCTTCCTCGGTTTTCCCCTTGACGCGTCCGACTGGCACTTTTACCACCCGCCGTCTCACCGCTTCTTTCACTCTCGTGACGTCACCTTTGACGAGTCCGTTCCCTACTACCGTCGCTTCCCCCACCATGGTCCCCCGGTTACACCCCCCCTGTTCCTGGTCCCTCCTTCCCCGGTAGTCCCTGCCCCTCCTCCTCCTCCTCCCCGTCCCGCCCCCTCTGGTGTGTCCCACGTCACCCCCTTTCCGTCGGTGGACCCGGTTGAGGAGTCTTCTGACTCTGGTGGCCCTCCTGTGCAGTCCTCGTCAGCTGCCCCTCCCCTGGTGTCCCCTCCCCAGTCCCCTCCTCCACCGCTTCTGCCGCCACTGCAGCCGTCGTTGCCGCTGCTGCCGCCGCCGCCGCTGCCGTCGCAGCACCCGTTCGCTGCCTCTGGGGGTGCTCGTCCCGGTAGCCCTGGGGTGGTCCCTCTGGGGGTGCTGGTGTGGAGAGTGTCGGGGGTAGCCGAGGAGCAGCTAGCGGTCCCGGTGTCGCCGTTGTGCCGCCGCAGCAGCAGTCCCCGCCGGTGTCAGCCCTTCGCCTGCTCGGCCTGCCGTCCCCCGACCCTGCGTCGGTTCCTCCCCGACCGTCTCCTCCTCTTCCTGTCTACGGCCCTGTTTTCCCTCCGCCGGACTCGTCCCCGGCTCGTCTCCCCCCTCGTTCCCCTCCTGTGTCCCCTCCTCTGTCTCCTGACCCGACTCCTCCGTCGCACGTCTGGTCTCACCGTCCCTCCCGTGCTCGTCCTGCCTCGCCTGTCCTGCGCTCCCACCCTATGTTGCTTCGTTCCCACGCGTCTCGTCCTCCCCTTCTGCCGTCGC